CAGTTTATTTTTGGTGAATTCTTTAACGTGGGTTTGTTTTAATATCTCAGATTTCTTACTTCCTGCATTTTTGGATATATAATATGATTTCGATAATAGCATCTTAGATGGTCGTTTGGTATCTTTGATTTGTGAATTTGGATGGTAAGATCCTGGCTTTATTAGAATTACATCATCAAGTGTGTTATCATTTTATGTATTATAATGATCCAATCAAACTGCATGAATGATTTTGGTTTTGGATCATCTCGTTGGGGAATGCTGATCACTTTTTTGTTTTTAAGTAACTGGGTTAAACTCTTAAATTTGCTTTCTTTTTTTCATTTTTTCTGGTTGAAATCCAGTGCTCACGATTGTTTAAGCAACTGAGGGACACGGATTGCTATTCCAGAGGTCCATTCTCATTTGTTTTATGTTCAATTATTTTTAACCCAATCACTATAGAGGCAGACAAAATTACAGTTTCAAAGTTTTTCGCATAAACAAATGCGTATGTCAGTGGATTGAGTTGTCGATGATAGTTTATGATTTGCGCTTTGGATGGTGATATCACCCAATGCTTGAAAATGTACAGAACTAGTTCATGAATCATGATATCTGATAAAATGCACTTTGGTTGGTGCTAATAACTGATTCTTGACAATACACTGTTGTATAGCACTTCGCTTCCATAGACTCTGCTTGTACTGTGACAGGCTTCTGTTGTAGGTAATTTACTCCTAGGAAGAATATGTCAAGTCATGAATGCATCCTAGTAACTACAATTTTTTCCCCGAAGTCTTCACTATATAAAATGATGAATTTGAAAAGAGATGGTTCTGGGAGATTTGGGTGTTGTTGAGAATGAGTCCCACATTGATGGGAGGAGGGACCTTGCATGGTCTTATAAGAAGTTGAGCTATTTTCCATATTGCCAATTGGTTTTATGGTGGAACCTCAACTTTCTTCATGCTATCAGAGCAGGTTGTCCCACGTGTGAAGCCAAACGGCCACATGTGCTCCACGTCACCACGTTGTGTTCACCACTTGTTAGGCTTGAAAATTCGTCTCACATGAGGGGGCATGTTGAGAATTAGTCCCACGTTGATGGGAGGAGGGACCTGTCATGTTGAGAATGAGTCCCACATTGATGGGAGGAGGGACCTTTCATGAGCTTATAAGAAGTACCTCAACTTTCTTCATCGGGTTCTGCAACAGATGATGATTTTGAAACAGTAACATGCTGTGTTACTAAAATTTATACTGTAGTAATGGCTGATTGTAAGATCTATTAACTTTGTGGTTGGACTTCTCATGGGCCAGAGGTACTGATGCACATGAATTTCTTCTTTAACATGCTATTATCATCATTGCCAAGCTTCAAATTCTTGAACTGCGGCTGTATACTTATGTCTATAATTTTCACAAATACTGGATTGAAGTCCTCATTTTGATTGTACTCCCATTCTGTTCTAATGTTAAAGTAACTTTTACTGGTTAAGCTGCAGATATGGACAATGGTTCTGGTCCAAGTTTGTTTCCGCTGCACCGATGCAAAACTCTTCACCTGGTTGGTACCGACTTTGATTTTGGATTTGCATACAGTTTGTAGCTGTTTTGAAGCTGTACTTTTCTTTGGTTTGAGGGACATTCAAGATTGTCTTCGTTCTTGTCTTTTTGCTCGCGAAACATGATTTTACAAATCCATTCATCCAGGTGAGGCATGGACAAGGAATCCACAATGTAGAGGGAGCTAAGAACTACGAAGCATACATGAAACCTGAATATTTTGATGCATGCCTGACTCCATTAGGCTGGCAGCAGGTGGGAAGAAAATCAACAACTTTTTCTTATACAGATACTATGTTACGAAAACTTTGAGAACTACGAAGCCTGTAACGAATATTTTCCTTCTACAAGTAAAAGACATTGTCATCAAAGATAATTTATGAATTGTTTTCTTACTGTGGTGACAGGTTGATAATTTGCGTAAGCATGTTCATGAATGTGGGCTTTCCAAGAGGATTGAGTTAGTCATTACATCTCCTTTGCTAAGGTAATTGTGCCATAATTCTGGAATCTAGCCTACCTCTCTGTCTTTTTCTTTCATGGATAATGCTTTTTATTAATCTCTCTATATTTTGTTGAAATATTTTCCGCTTGAAAGGTTGAGTGCAACAAACAAAAAACTGTAGAAAAGGATCGATTTCATGAATCTTTCTCATGGAAAAAAAATTGAAAAACTGTAAAGGCATAATCTGGTTAGTTGGACTAAGTTGTGTGTATATAGGAGCTTGAGAGGAGAGATGAAACAAAAAGGTTGGGTTGTACTTGTATTCAAGAATCTTGGTCTTAACACTATGTTTTTGGAGTTGAAAATATGGAAATTTCAGAGTTGTCTAACATATCTATTTCTTTTCAGAGAAATTTTTGGTGTATGATTCCTGGACATGGGTATTATATTCTTTCTGACATGAATACTGATAGTCAGTGACGGCAACTCCCAGAGTTCTAGTTACAAGATGACAGAAGTGTGAAAATAACTTGTTTTATTTATGATTCGGATTCACGGAGTACATGATAACTAGTACTTAGAGTTGTAGAGGTTACGCAAACGGAACCTTTTCTTTGTTATTTTATGTTGAAGAGATGAGAGGATTTGAGCCAAATCTTAAATTATCTTCTTCTTCCAAGATACTGAAAAGAAAAGAAGTATATTACACTTGTTTCTTTGTAATTAAGCTTGGTTTTTCGGGAAATTTCGTTGTTAATGCGATAGCCAAGTTACAATTGATGAACTTGCTTAATCTGTTCATGAAGATTCTTCCTCCCTGGAGAAACATTTCCATTTTTAGATTCTGTTAAGCTGTAATTAAAGTTGGTTTGACTGATTAGGACTCTGCAAACGGCTGTCGGAGTATTTGGAGGCGAGGGTTACAAGGATAGAACGGACGTACTGCCTCTAATGGTGGCAAATGCAGGAAATAGTGAACACCCATCAATTTCAAGTCTCAACTGCCCACCAATCATTGCAGTAGAGGTTTGTCGAGAACATTTGGTATGTCAGTTAAGAACCAAATTATTTTGACTTCTTTGATTTTATTTTTCATTTGAACTGGACGTGAGTGAATCCTATGCAACTTAATGTGGGTCAAGTTTAACCTCAATTGTTGAACATTATTAACCTAGTGTATATCTTCAATATCTATGGACGAAAGCTAAGTTTTCTTAGGCAAGTTTGGTTATTTGATTTGTCCCTTGATAGTTACGTTGTTGTGGTGTAGCGTCGCTTAACTTGGCTTGTCTTTGCCAAGTATTTATAATGTCAGAATTTTCTGATCAAATTGATCAGAAGAGATGTCAAAAAAACCTCTTTGTTTATTTCTGTATGTTAAATAACAAATTGTTAGAACTCATCGTGAACTTGGTCCTTAGTAGCGTTGGTGCGTAGTCTTGATGTTTTATTGATTTGATGCTCTAGGCTTTAAATTTTATGTTGTAAATTTCTGGTTGCAGGGCGTTCATCCCTGTGATAACAGGAGGAACATCAGCGACTATCAGTTGCTATTTCCTGCGGTTGATTTTTCGCTGGCAAGTAGTTGGATAGCTAACAATTACTGGGGGAGGAATTAGTGGTTTTAAGTTACTTTATGGTGCTTTTCATCTTTTGGTGGCTGTACATTTGGATTGTTATACAATATTTTTCAATTTTTTTATTGTTATATGCTAATATCTTTAGTTTTTACAGATAGAAACTGATAAGGATATATTGTGGAAGGCCGATGTGAGGGAGACGACAGAGGAAGTTGCAGCTAGGGGATTGGAATTCATGAACTGGTAGCTTATCTTGTAACCATCAGAAGCAAGAAGCTATCATCTGGAGCACATGCTCCGTTGGTGCTGCTATCTTTTGTCGTTTCATAAACTTTCGAGTTTTAAAGCTTATCAGCCCTTTTGATGCTCTCATCCTCCATAAGATCGATACATTTTTATTAGTCGTTTTCTTTTATGATCAAACTTATACGGGTTTGGTGCCTTCTTCTTGTCACTTCACAGGTTGTGGACAAGGAAAGAGAAAGAAATAGCGATTGTTACTCATAACGGGTTCTTGTCTCACACGCTAAACGCACTAGGAAATGATGTCATCCTTCGATGAAAAAAGAAATGTCCAAACAGGTAAGTGCACTCTATACAAGGATCACAAGCTTAGTAGATGTTTCAATAGTACTAAAGTTAACACACTTGTTAGGCATTTGTTTTCCGAGTTATCAGGCTAACACTCTTATTCTTTTATGTCATTGCAGCTTTTCAAATTGCGAGCTTCGCTCCATGATCATTGTTGACAGAAGGTGAGCGTGTGATTTTTCGTTAGTTACGAAAGGGATTCCTTCTGCTTGATTAGGATTCTTACGATTTCTGTTTGTTCTCAGTATGGCAGGGTCCGATTCATCAACAACTGATTATACAGGAAAGATTCCTTCAGGGCCGGATCTCCCTAGTGATGTTGCTGATGAGAAGTACAGTGGGAAAGAAAAGGTCCGAACTTAGTGTAAATTGCACTAAAGAAAGGAAGATGCTACAAGCTGTGAACAAATTCGGATATTGTGCTTGCATAAAATGGTAGTGTCTGGTTTGTCCATGAAAAAGATCACAGCACAGGGTTGCATTGTATGAGACCTGTATGGTTGATGATGGTAAATGGTTATTTCAAGTACAAACAGCAGTCTCCTGTGATCGGGCATCGGCATTTTAGTCCTTGAACTATGAGCATTTGCTCATTTTATAGACAAAGAGAGTAATTCTGGTTGCAATGTTATGTTTGCGTTTTTCGGTCTCATTGCTTAACAGTCGACAGTAGTGAATGACCTGTTTCAATTTCAGACATTGTTGGTACTGGGTGTCCAGCAAACAAACAGCTGAAACTGTTGGTAGTTTGTAGTCGGGAGCTTGGCGAATCAACAGAGAATTAGATAGTAGGGAGGTTAAGATTCTAGGTTTGATTTTCGACTTTCGAGTATAGGTTCAAGGAAATACAGGATCAATTTTGTTTAAACGCCAATCATCCACCAATCAGCTTGTAATTCTCCATCCTCGGTAATAAAACTTCCAAGCATGCTCATAGGTCATGACAAATGACATACAAAAGAGCAGAGGCATTTGGTAAGACAACTTGAGTGAGAGATTGTAGATGCATCCGACGCAGGCGATGGTTGCGTTATTAGACACTGCAACGGCGGACCAACAGAAACTAAAACTAAATAACGTTTAGCAACGTATCATGTTGAACGAAAAGGTTGTGGAGCGATTATTATAGGATATTGATAATTTTTAGTCTTCCAAACGTGAATTCAGCCAGCAGGAGCAGCTGTTCAGTTAAGACTGCAGAACATCAAAATATTGTACAGGCCTCTTCTTAGACTTGGCACAGAGTTCCTGAAAAACATCATAAGAATGCTTTAGTTTCAAACTGTTCTTTACTTCTACCAACGGGTTTGCGGAGTGCCCAAACACTTGAAGCACTATCATATAATTGTTCTTCATTCACTGAAAGTTGAAAAGTTGATACCTCTATTGCAGAAGCCAAACGCAAAATTGAAGATTCACCCCATGGGCGGCCAATCAGTTGCAAACCGATTGGAAGTCCTTGCTTGTCGTAGCCAACCTGCACATAGTAAACAAGTACAGAAAAGTAGAAAGTCAGCCACAAAGAGAGGAAAGAAAACAGTTGACATGAGGAAGGTCGTAATAACATTTGAAATATCTTGCTTCGCCTTTGACCTAAATAGGTGAAGGCTTGAGAATAACAACATGACATAATCAAGTACAGAAAAGTAGAACGTCGCTGAAAAAAACTCAAAAACAAAAAGGTCCCTTGAGTTACAGCTAAAAGAAATCTGCCCTTGATACTTCAAAGATATAATTACTTGCAATTGCAAAAGTATGGCTTCCATTCCATGAAGTTGGTATTAGATGGCCTCAAAACTGGAGGTTTTAAGAAGTATTGTGTCTGATGCAAGCATTAGAGTACTTTGAATAATTTGTCGAACAAAAGCACAACAGGATATAGTGGACAATTGTTCTACCAGAGTAACCATAACCAAATTAGGGCGCTTGAAATATGAATCCAAGAAAAAAGAAAGTTACTCACTGGTACAGAAATAGCAGGAAGTCCAAGAAGATTTCCCGCAATGACAAACCGCATGAGATAACCTGAAACCAAGGAAGCCATGCATCAATGCAAGTATGAAAGATTGCAAAAAGTGAATTACATTTCTTTTTCTCGTTCACTAGTGTCTTTTGAGTGTGAGATAAAAACTTCAAGAATACCACATTTCAAGTTCTTCCAACTACAACGAAGTAATACTAAATTCTCAGTGTGGCTAACAACGACTTTAAATTCAATGATTTTGACATTCATCAGGAGATTGCTATAAAATTTTCCAGACAGAGAAATTAAAGAACAAAAATAATTATCTTCTCAAGCTTCAATTCAATTGTAGAACAGCTGACCTGTGACCCACATATCCGTCTCCCCATCTTTAAGAGCAGCTGGTGGAATTATAGGTGCTGTCATGCTGTTTTGCACAAAATAATTAGAGAAGGGAAAAAGTGTGCATATCAGTTCAATTCTGAGTTTCTACCAAAGAAAAAAAAATGCATGATTTAAATTGTGGTCATTCATGACAAAGGTACCCACACTCGAAAAACAAAAAAACGCGCTACTTATAGAGGTGGAAAATGAGTAAGACCACTGACTAGTGATGACATCTATCTTCAAACACACAAAAATATAACTAAGACCTGTTTTGCAGAGTTTTCAACAGAAGATGTTTCCCAAATTGAAAGTGGCATTGTAAAATTTTCCCAGAGAGTTTGTATAAAATTCATTAGGTATTTCGAGTTTTTTTAACTTTATCTGTTTCAATAACTCTGAAACGGTACATCTAAGAAAAGTAAACGAAAGAGGCCCAGGAAATGGAAATAACATGTCACAGTGACTGTATTCAACGACAAGAAAAATTCACAGTACATATAATAAATAATTAACAGGTCTTGCTCATCAATGTTTCTATAAATAAACAAGAGAAACATTTTAGGACCGAGACGGTAACACCATCTAGTTTAGCTATATATATATTTTATAAGACTACATATAAGGAGCAGACAGGTGCACACCCATTACTTTTGTTATCAGTTAGGCTTTACATACCCTGTTGTGGGGGTCACTATGACATCAACCTTCTTGAAGATCTCCATATGATGGTACATAATCCTTCTCCTGAAATAAATTAAGCGAAACTAAAGCATACATATGGAAAATTTTAAGATTACAGATTCACTAGGAAACATATTTGTCAATATCTCATCCACCAAATTTACGTGTTCCCTTAAAAAAATAATGCACTAATGACCCTGTCATACGAAGTTACTGTATATTTTCAGAGATCTTTGAAACATTTGCATACCATGCCATTCCAAATGAGATAAACCAAGTATTTCTAAATACAATGTAATTCAATATCAGAGAAAAGTTATTAATGTAATGATCCATGAATCACTTCTTTTAACAATGATCACAATCTATGTGCCAAATTTCAGGTTACAAAGAATTGGAAACTAACGACAGTTTAATAGGCACTGGAGCATTGTTTTGAGAATCCTCCAAATAAATATTACGGTAACACTTGAAATTTGGGATTGGGAGCATGACAGAAACCAATATTGACAAGCTTCAGAACCTAACATGTCCCTATAAAGAAAAAACGATTCCAATTCCTCAGGAATAAAAAGAATCCTAATGAAATATCATAAAAATATTTAGTCACTTTAGTCAGTTTTCAATTGATATAGGATGCTTGTATGGTTCCTAGAAGCTTGCACTATAACGACGAACTTAAACACATCTATGACATTACCAAACATCCCAAAAGAAATTTCCCACTCCATTGTGCAGCAAAAGGTATTAAAAATTCAGCCATATAATTGTTTTCCGATAATTAGTTTGCCTCACCTAAGACATTGGGCAGCAATATAATCTGACGCAGAAAATGATCGGAAAAGAGCCACACTAGTGCGTGAGTCATATGACAATTTTGCACCATATCTACAGACAAAGAGTGAGAAAAAAAAAATCAATAAAAATAACATCAGTTATAAATGAAAACCGAAGAATTAGGATCATAAAAGGAACAGGAACATTCTTTCATATGTCAACCTCACACCATTTCTTGAATTTTCTATAAATAAAGTCTCTGGTTTTGTTTTTTCAATAGTAAAATTGGTTTTTTTTTCCTAAACTTTATCTCGAGTGTCTTTTGCTCCTATATTTAAGTGTATGTCTATACATTTTCCCCTTTTACATAATTTTTTTTCTATTAACTTCAAATGCTAAATAATTGTTTTTTGAATTACACTTGAGTTGCTTCTTTTGTAGCAGATCTAATTTTTCAAGTGATCTCGTACCCTGCATGCTTTTGAAAAAAAAAAAACATAATTTATTCACCTTACTCAAGTTCATTCGAAAAGAAACTTCCGATGTAGATACTCGATCAATTCAAAAATCCTAGTCCTTTATACGTGCTTAGTAGTGGCTTTTTAATACTGAAGGAAATTGAAGACGTTTAAAGATTTTAGTAATGAAGTTATAGTGAGATACTTCAAAAGTTTGAAGCAACAGACAATTATACACATAATATAGAAAAAGATTCTCAAGATATTGAAGTTTTTGTGTATATTATGGCTATGTTTTCTTTCGCTTTTATGTTATATAAGTTCGCTGCCAGTATAGATAACCCAAACAGAAACATACCCATCCTCACAATATGCATTCAGTGCATTGAGAAACTCAGCTCCAATTGAAACGAGATGAGCAGTACGCATTTCATGGAGCTCAGGTACAACAATCTCCACCATCTACGATAAATGGACATGGACATGCAAAGTCTCAGCTAACATCAAAGAAGTTATTCCTCAACTTAAGAAACAATAATGAGTTTCAAAAAGATACGAAGTATATGACAATGATGCTGACTTACTTCACAACCATGGGTCTTCGATAGAAGACTAAGAACATCCTCACACGTATCAGATATATCAGTCGAATGTACGTCATTAAACCACTGCAGGAGAACGTTTGTATATTCATAAGAAGTCATGTAACATCTAATTGAAATGACCATAGAAAGGGTAATTACCGCTGTATACTTCCCCAGTCGCAAGGATCCCAGAGTATTCAAACTGTCATACAATGACAAATTTGGCACAGAAGGTGGGGACTACAAAAATAGTGAACAGAAACTGGTGTCAGATATGGAAGAAACTAAGAGGGTTCACACCTTATATATGTAAAACTGCTTGTAAAATTGAATGAAACAAACACACGTCTTACCAATTCACACACTGATCAAACCATCTCAGCAATAAATTCATTTATAAATACATTTAAAATTTAACTACAGAGAAGATAGTACATTTTTGAATCCACTATCAAAACACAATCTTATTATATTACATGCACTAAGTTTCTTTCTTCCAGGAAATAGAATTCCCTTTACTGGTCAAGAACGAGGTCTCTGTTCAAATGACTTAAGAAGGAAAGTAGACTAAGAGTAAAGGGGAATTATGAATCTATTTTGGTGTATCGTTTAAGCCAGTAATAACTAATTACACTTACCGGTTTCAAACTAAGTCTATCTGCAAGAGAGGTGCCCAAAATTGCCGAGTACCTGATAAATTATTATTTTGGTCAGAAAACATTAGAAATACTGGAGGTCTTTGGCCAATGCACCAAACATAAGACTGAAAATAATTAGGTTTAAGTAGGAAAAGTTTATCACACATGAGTCACATGGCACATCCTGAGAAGGATGGAAGCGAACACCAGCAAGAGTAATGGAGTACATGTTCACAAGTATGAGTTACTTACACTAACATGACATCCTCCACTGTAGAAGCAATTGGTCCAATAATTTCCAGAGTCCCATCATCACATAATGATCTGTGATGTAAAAGTGCACAAACCGTAAATCAATTTGGCATGAAGCACATGGCACAACATCCCAGTCTGACGCTTGTTGCTTGTCTACATGATTGCATGTGTCAAAATTTTATGAGTTATCAATTATCCTACTATTTCGATAGGGTTAAATGTATAAACCATCCTATAAAAGTTAGAGAGAGAGAGAGGGAGAGAGAGAGAGAGTAAGCAAGCATACATTAAAACTAAAACATGAAACAATCTTGTCCATTAATAAATTTTGTGTTACATGAGAAAAATCTACAGTCAAAGCTGTTTTTCCTATTTAGATGATTTATATGCTTTTAATATAGTTCTCTTAAGAACTGAGAGTAATGTGGTAGGTCCTAGAAAGAAAAGGATCCCCTTTTCAAAGTACCAACTCACCCTCCCATATCTGTCCGTCCATATGTTGTCTTCAAGCCCACTACACCACACAGAGAAGAAGGAATACGGACTGAACCTGCATTTTTACATTGATTTAAGCATCCCAAATTAGTATAAAGGAAAGTAAGAAACAATATTAAGCCCTTCATAACTAGTTTTTGCACAACCTCCACCATCAGTTCCAAGCGCTGCAGAGCACAGTCCAGAAGCTACAAGTGCCGCAGGGCCCGAGGAAGATCCACCAGTATACCTTTCTGGTGCATGGGGATTTCTTGTTGTTCTAATGAAACAAAATTGGGGAAAAAAAATCAGCAATATAAGAAAACCATGCTAATTATGTAACAAAAGAAAAAAAACTCTATTTGTATTTATCTCTCACACAGGAAACAAATACTGCATAAAGTTTGGTCACAGTATAAGAGTGGTAGTTGGCCCACATCCTAACAACTTAAGCGTTTGAGATTATCAAGTTTACAGTTTAAACCTAAGCACACAGGAAAAATGCACCGTATTTAAATCAAAGGATCAAATTGTGCAACTATGACTTTGACATGTTAGACACATTGTGTCTATGAAAAACACTGCACATGCAAAATCCATCACATGGTTGCTGAGAAAGGATTGTTTACCCATAGTTCGAATTATTTCCGGTTGTACCCATGCCCAACTCATGCATATTTGCCTTCCCAATGAAAATCACGCCACAACTACGTAATCTTGAAACACAAACTGCATCCTTCTTGACAGTGCGAACCTCATGCATCCATGTTGTTCCACCTGTCACCATGGAGTGATTAGTTAAGTAGGGTCAAATGTTTAACATATATTCTTAACACAATGGTGACGTTTATTTACCCTTAGATGGATGGGGACAGCAGTCTATATCATCCTTGATTGCCACAAAAATACCGTCTAAGATAGATAAGGGATTCCCTGCACAACCAAAACAAAAGGGCATCAAAGCTTACTACTGGGACACTCTACCCTAGGTTAATAGTCAAGACAATCATTACAGCCAATTATCCTTCTACTAATACCTTCCTCAAACCTCTTTGTCGAAGCTGCAGCTTGGCTCCTGACATCTTCAGGGTTGAAAGTAATCAACAGAGGTTGTGGCGGTTTCTTATTACTGAATTCATCTATAACTGAAATTATATGCTCCACGACCTGTGCATAAGAAAATAAACTCATAAAAAAATCAATTTGAGGTGAACCGAGTCATAAGATAGTATCAACTTACCAGTGATGGGGTTGCAAGCTTGGAACGATAAGCATAAGCATAATCACGTATCTTCCAGTACCGAAAAGATTGAATTGAATTCCCATTCCAGCAGCTAGCAGGATCATACTGTGGAAGGCATTTCAAAGCCACTTCAACTCTGTCTTCTGGTTTTCCATCTTCATCAAGAACAACCACCCCGGCTTCTAGTTCTAATTTTCACATCACATTCACCAGGTCAGTGATCCTTACATCCAATTCCATTAAAACAATGGAGTACAACAAAAGATAAAATCTTTTGAGACCCAAATTAATAAAAATCAAACCCAAAAAACCTTGAGGGGGAAATTCAGGTTTGAACATGGGTCCCTCTGGTATCAGAGTATTCCTCAACAACTGTGGATTGCAATAACAGATAATTTACTTTCAGTCTCTTCTAATTCGAATCGAAAATCTCGAACACAGTAGAACATTTCAACAAGTAATTGAATTACTGAAAAAAAAAGCAACACAGAATTTTGAAAGACCTGAGTCATCTTGTTCTGCTTCTTTATAGCTGAGACTATGAAAGAACCTAAGATGGGGGCCTCAACAATCCTCACAAACAGCTTGAAAATCAAGCCAGTCAAATGTGGAGCTGCCAATCCAAAAACCCAACAAAACCCAAATCATCAAACTCAACAACAATCAAGAATTCATCTATAAATTCATAATTTGATATGATCATATGAGTGCGTGTATTGCTATTGGCTGACTGACCCTTGATTTCTTCTTGCTCGTATTTGACGGCGGACAAGTCGACGTCCTCGGCGGCCACCATCACCCGCCTCTTCCCCATTTTTACCGGCAGGAACAAGTTCGGCGGAAAGTCAAACAAATTTGGAGTAGTTTGAGCAGTGGTAGAGAGAGAGACGGTAAACGTGGTTGGGAGACAGAGAGAGCGAGCTACTTTTTAGATTTTGAATTCGTGCTGCCGTCCCTGATATTGTAATGAGGTAATGCATGACTGGGTCATCTAAATTATAACCCCTTTTTGTCTTGCTGCATTGAATTGTACGCAAGAACCAGTAAGTACATTTAAAATTCTGAGAGACCAATTCGAACAAGAAAAAGTAATATTTTAGAATATTGTTTGAAATTGTCCGATCAATCAAAAAAAGTCCAACTCAAGAAATAATATTGTATGGACCAAGCTCAACAATGTTTTGAAGCATTTTTCAAGACATTCAAATTGGATTTTCATTGTTCTACAATTCTATAGTATGATTACCAGTTGACGTAATATCCAAACCAAATTCTTTCTCTTAAAAATCAATTACCAAGTTTCAATTTGAAAAGCTTGTTTCTGAACCTCGAGCATGATACTTTCAAGGTCTAAATCGTTTCAAAGTGATTCGTGTTGCTCTGTTATACTTTGAACACATGTAACAACTTTCATGCAAGTGTCATGTTGTTGTTGTAGTTCAATTTACTTAATTTTGAGTTAGTTTAACTTCCCAAACTCAATGGTACAATCTATTACTCAATATGGCACAATCCCTAAATTAAAAGTTTAGCTTTCTTCAGTTTTCATGTGATAATCCGTCCCTAATTTTATGTTTTATAAATTTTAAAAGCATGAATCGACGAAATGTCCTAGAGGCAAGGATTTTGACTTCCGTTGGCCATTGTTTAGAGAGATGTATGAGTCATTCTTTTGGAGTATTTGCATAGTAATCATTGCCACGAACGCATAGGCGAAAGCCATTTGCGAGTTTCGATTATAACGGTATAGTTACGGACGTTTGAAATTGATTATTTAAAGTTTAGCTATAAATAAATTGAACTCCCATCTTGTGCGAAAGAAACCAATCAGATTTAAAGCAAGAATAGGGGGACCAATCAGCTATTTTGTTTAAGTGACCAATGAGATATGTCAGAAGGTGGACCAATCAGAAATTAGAGAGAGAGATCAGCCAATCAGGAAGGAGAGAAGAGAGAAAACCTCATCCCTTTCCCTTTCAACCCATGCACACCACACAACCTAGTTCGACCTCCCATTTTTCAAGGCCGATTTCGGCCAACTCCGCTGGAGTTTTTCGATGCCACCACCACCATCTTAAGCTCTCATTCCCCTCTACAAAACCCACTCAAGAACCACCTTGATTACACTGTATGTGGCGGTTTATGGCCATGAAAGTTGACGAAAATCAACAGTGCTCCGGCCACTCTTTTCAATTTTCTGGCGAATCGACAAGGCAATGGCCGATGCCACCACTTGGGCTTTGTAGCCCATCATCCCAGGAGAAAATCCCAACCAACCTTGACCTCGTTAGACCACTGTAGACGACGAATCGACGTCGAGAAGCTTTAGGCACCTGCCAGCTTTGTGGGCAAAATTGACCATCTTCTGTCCACTTTTGGACTTCGTGGCTCGTATGAAAGTTGTTCCTCTCTTTGAGATCTTCATTTCTGTGAAATTTGAGAATTTTTAGAAATACTGGAATTTTTCAGGCAAACCGTGATGGCCAACCACCGTGTGCGGCGGCGCGTGGGCCGAGACCCCATCTGACCATCTTTGGCTAATTTGGATGCTCCAATTCTATATTTGACATCTGTTTAGTGAAATTATGATGTTTTAATGTAGTTTTGTAGTTGACCACCTAGTTGGCCGTCACAGGGTCTTTGCATGAATTGATGATCCGACCGTTGGATCGTTACCAAACATTAGTACCTTATAGTATGTATATTTGAGAACCATAGAACTTACGGATCGGGAATCCAACGTATGGATATTCGAATCAGATTTGTAAGTTTGTAAAATAAAACATCAGCTGCCACTTAATTTTAGCAATTGGCGGAGATCCGACCGTTGGATCGTTTTGAAACTTTAGAATGTTGTTCTAGAAGTATAATGTGGATCTTTGGAAGTTACGGATCGGAAATCCTAGGTACAGAATCTTCCGGATCGAGTTACATAGGGTTGTGGACCCTACCGTTGATCTTTGACCGACAGTGTTGACTTTTGATCAATGGGTCTCAAATCATTCTAGAATGTCCTTGGGATGTGTTTTATGTAAGTTACGTGTTTTATTGATAAGAGTTAGGAGACGTGATTGAATATTTGTTCTAGGTGATGATCATTCGTGACGTCTCGATATTCGTTCTAGGGAATCGTGGTGTAGACCTCAAGTGAGTGGGTCTTTTCCTTTTTATAGTATATATATGATTGATAGTTCCACAAATGCTTTTAAAATTGATTTATGCGTTTTATGCCATGTTAATATATATTTTAAAATACTATGATATGGTTAAGTTTTAGATTGCATCATGGCATATCCATATGCATATTACCTGCATATAATTGTTGTGAATGCTTGGAGGTGCTAAGGTGAATGCGGGACGCGCATGTAAGTTCAGGTGAGTTTATGGTGTTATTTGAAATGATTGAGTTATGGCTTGACTGTATTTATGTTTTATGCAACTCTGACACTGTCGTACAGGTTACAATAATAGACAACTTCGACATTGTAGTACAGGTTGTGATAGGCAACTTCGACACTGTCATACAGGTTGCAATAATAGGCAACTCTGACATTGTCGTACATGTTGCAATGCTAGGCAACTCTGACACTGTCGTACAGGTTGCAATACTAGGCAACTTTGACACTGTCGTACAAGTTGCAATGCTAGGCAACTTCGACAACTCCGACACTGTCGTACAGGTTGCAATGCTAGACAACTCCGACATTGTCGTACAGGTTACAATACTAGGCAACTCCGACACTGTCGTACAAGTTGCCTATAAGTCATACAGGTTGCATTAGATAACTTCGACTCATGTGTTATCATATATTGATTTATGAGTCGTACAGGTTGCGTTACGCAACTCTGACTCGTGTGTTATCATAGATTGATGAGCATTTGATTTTTTATATACTGCTGCCGATATGTAGTGATTTGGAATATTCCTGAATTTACTGTTGATTTACATTTGATTTCATACTTATACGTATTATGATTTCCTGGAAACTATACAGGTATTACAGCGAGGGATTATAACGTTTAGAAGGTCTTTATTAAAGCTTTATTTTCAGGCCCACTCATTCTTATTTTTTATCCCTCCAAGTTCTAGTAGCAGAGTTTTCGTATCAACAAGGATTCGTGGCAAATCTTGGTATTGGAGATTACCTTCGAATGTATGATTTTCAATCCACTCTACTGTACTTTACTTATGCTCTAACGTCACGTGTGAAATGGGTTCATTTCTGCTCACAACACACTCTCGTATTTAGGCACTTTTAGGTTTAAATTTATTCACATATTTCACATCACTATACTTTATGGTTTCGTCACCTTCCAGGTGTCGGCCAGCACTACTCGATTCAAAGTTCTAGTGAACAATCCGGGTCGGGATGTGTCACTTCAAAATTTAACTTTTAGTTTTTAGTTTCTAGTTTCTTTTTTCTTCTAAAAACTAAAAATAGTTATCAGACAAGTTTTATACTTTCAATAAAATAAAAATTAATAATTAATAATTAAAAAAATAGTTATCAAATGGCACATAAACTTACTTTATTAAATTTTGTTTGTGTGATGCACCTTGTACTATGATATTTTGTAGAAATCATCAAAGAGTTTGTTTGTATTCAACACCATTGAGGTTCTAGGTAGATCTACTTAACTTAGATCCTAATTCTATTTTACAATTTCTTAAGTTTGTTTAAACCATTTGAATTAGTTGAATTATTACTTGAGGTAACATTGTACGTAATTGTACTCTTTTGTACCACTTTATTCTTATTTATACCAACTTATCCCTTTTAATTAGGCTATTTCTAACCTAAAGGGTTAAAATTCCAATATTTAGTGTCACATCCTAGGCCTGCTCCACCACCGTAACACGATATTGTCCGCTTTGGGTCCCGACCACGCCCTCACGGTTTTGTTTCTGGTAACTCACACGAGAACTTCCCAGTGGGTCACCCATCATGGGAGTGTTCTCGCGCGCTACTCGCTTAACTTCGGAGTTTCCATGGAACCTGAAGTCAATGAGCTCCCAAAAGGCCTTGTGCTAGATAGGGATGGGAATGTATATATAAGGATCACTCCCATGGGCGATGTGGGATCTTACATTTAGTCTTGTATTTTCCACTATTTATCTATACGTATGAGGTTAGGCGTATTTTTCCTCCAATGGTAAAGGACTTAGAATTCCCAACCAACTTTATTATTTTGTTAAACTTTTGTATTTCGTTGATTTTTTTTTTTTTTTGTGCTAATAATTTGGAATTAGTTTTTCTATAATCTATCTTGCTCTATTTTTGTGAACATTTTTATGTAAATAAAAATTCAAATTCTGAACAAAAAAATTGTTGAGAAAATTGAATTTTTGTATGGATTAGTGAACAAATGGATGTGTATTTATAGAGTTTGGTATCATATCTGATTTGGATTAATTAATAATATTATTTTGACAGTTGAATTTAAATTTGAGCCGTTGGATTTTTTTTATTACTGTTAAAATTGATTGAATGGAATTTGAGTCGTTGGATTTAAAAATGATGTAACTAGATGTAACTAGGTGCGCCACACTGGATCAAAACCCAGGAGACGTGACAACCATTAGATGACAACGACACACCAATCTGCATCGTAGGAACCGTGATGCTGGTGCAGTCACCCCAACTAATCGCTATCTTCTAGTCAGCTAACTTGCACAGGTCCACGTGGGTTGGCCTGCTGCTATTGGTCTCACGTGCCCCCCCCCCCAGCACACTTGTAATCTTACCCATCTGGAGTGGGAAGCAATCCCAAATTTCCACCCCCAAACCCAAAATCCCAAATATTCCACCTTAAAATACACCTCTCATAGAGGTTTTGGGCCCAAATTTTAAGATCTTTTATTTTTTTGTTTCCCATCCTCCATTGGTGATAGCCTTATACTTGCACACAAAGTATTTGGAAGTAGAGCACTCCTAACCATACCTGAATTGATATTGTTAATATTCTTGCTATCCAACATAAAACCACCATTAGTAGGTATCTAGGCATACACAATATTATTTTCTGGAA